CTAGGTTTCCTATCCCTCCATATTTCATAAGATATTTTAAGAACTACTTTACTAGGAACCTGGTTTACCCAATATGCAACAATCATTAATGCATACATCCACACAAAAAACATTAATGTTGAATTACTCAACATACACCTAACCATATTATTTTAAGTACGATTTATCCTCTCAGCAACACCATTATGTTGATAGTCTCAATTATAGTATATTTCACACAAATATTTTAAATCTCAACAAACATTGCAAATGGACTAGGACATTACCTTCTTTAATTGAACTTACAATAATATTCACCAATCTAGTAAGATCTCACAATTTTTACTTATTTATCTAACCACCTTTTCATCTCATCATTGTGTATCTTTGGATAGTCCAATGATTAAGTCTTTTTATGTAGTAGATAAATATAACTATAACATGGGAAATTATTTATAAAGGTGATGAAATACTTTATACCGCCCCACAAGGGAACGTCGAATAGACCATAAAAAATTAGTGTAAATAAGTTATAAGATTTTAGTGCTTCTCTTGGCAGATCTCTTTAATGTATGTCTAGTTTTCTTTCATTAGTGCATTCTACATATACATCTTGATCACTAAATCCAAATGAGAATTGGTTTCATAGTTCACCATTCTCAGTAACTTTTCATCAGATATGTGACCTAATCTTTAATGCCATAAGAGAGTAGAATTTTAATTATGTGCACTACGTTTAACCTTAAAATATGAGATACATAAGTAGTTGCACAGAATCAAGTCACCAAATATTATTGGGAATCTTTAATAAATTTGATTCACAACATACGAAAATTTAATGTATGTTTTCTTTACGAATCAAGATTTTATTTCGGGCAATCTTTCCTAAGGTGGCCTAACTTTTTACAGAAATAACACCTCATTTCATTAATGATTGGACTTGCAAAAATTTAAGTAAGTCAATCTCCTTTTATTTGCCTTTTTTTCCCCATTTTATCTTACTATTATTGGCTCTCACATGAGATATAAAGTGAATCGACTCTTCTTTCATAAAATTTATTCTCACCTCTTCCTACACCAGCATAGCCGTCCTTACAATCCCATTTATCTTTGATGGTGTTATAGTTCACCTAGGATTGGCCAAACTCGACAGGTAGGGAGTTCATGATGAATAGATCCATAAATGACTCTATCACATTCATTCTCATGTTTGTAAGTTTAGCTTATATGTTGGACATGTGGGTCACGAGATCATGGATTGAACAGAATCAGTCAAACTTTTATAGTGGAGAGCATGTTCATGAAACTTCCCACAATAGACTTTTTCCGTAACTTTAAATGGAGATAGTTCCTTGATTTTTTATTTAGGAATTCTTTTGCATTGTCAGCTAATGTTATCCACCATGATTAATTTCATAAAACTCAAACACAACCTATTTGATTGCTCACATGCCCTACGAAGAGTTACCTCTATTTTGGAGCTCTCATCAGTAATGGTTGTGGGAACTTCATCAGTAATTAGAGTCATACCCAAATTCATTGCACCTAATTGAAAATGGATATGCTTAGACCATTCACTGAAGTTCAGCCAATTGAATTTTTCTACTATAATATTGTACGGATAACCAAATTTTGAATGCTGCAAACTTTAATACATGCTATTTAGTTAAGCTTTGAGAGACAATTAATGGATTCAGAAATCTTTTAAATTATATATTTAAATATACCTTTGGGAAAATACTTAAATATATAATATATTTGATAGATGCCTAGTAGGAAAGATCTTTACTAGAAATTATAGGCATTGTGATTAATTAGCGGTTATCTTTGGACAAACACACTAATTAACCTAACTTTAATTATAATTTCTCTTTTATATATTAATCCTTAATAGAAATTATATAATTTTGATCAATTAGAGGTTATCTTTGGACAAACACACTAATTGACCTAACTTTAATTATAATTTCTCTTTTAATTGTCATAACTATGAACACATGACCCACCTTTGGGTGTCCTCCTGGTTTATAATCAATGACATCAATTATTCAAATATATAATTTGAGAAACATTAATAAGACATCATTTTATATTCGAATAATCGATACTTTAATCTAATTTAATTATCTACTCCATAAATTAAACTAGGCCACTTTGGTGACTAACTAGTTTTCTTTCATAGATAATATAATTAGGAAATATTTTATTTTATTTGATTTGTAAATTATAAGATTATCAAAACTATAACAAATCTTGATTCACAAATCAATTAACTTTTATTAGTTTAAGAATCCAATTAAAACAACAATTATATCAAGCCTGGCGAATAATTCCCAACATATGCGCCAATAAATATTTTTTTTTTTCCAACGACATAAACTGCTCTATAAAACCATAAAATGGTAATGTTACAAATAGTCAAATACAGCCTGGGTAACTGAGAGGCCATGCAATTACATTTGCAGCCCAGCCGAACCAAATGAGAGATCAACAAAGCCAACTACATAATCTAAAACATAGCAACATACAGAATGAACATACAGTACAAATGACCCATACATTATCAACTGCTCCAAATGAAAAACATAAACCAAGGACGAAACCTGAAACCACTGCTAAACAGCCTAGCTCCATTTCAGCTCCTACCATTTATGCTCATGAGTTGGTGCAAGCAAAGTCATTCCAGTCTCTCAAAGCTGCCTTTATAATCCATCTCTCTGGTTGCATATGGCCTTCAAAAACCCAGATGTTCCTTGCTTTCCAGAGCCACCATAATATGTAAGTGGATAATTGAATTCTCTCTTATGATGTATCATTGAAGTCCATGCTGCTAATCCACCACCACCACTGTTTGAAGGTAAGATGTTCTTGGTGAACTCTGTTCCACTGCACAGGAGAAATCTGCCACACTTTCACTGCTCTAGGACTGGAATAAAACATGCTCTTGTGACTCAACAGCTTCCCCACAGACTCTGCAGAAAGGATCAATGAGAAGCCCTCTGGAAATTAGGTTTGTACAGACAGGTAGAATATTAGTAAAACACTTCCAAATGAAGTGTTTCACCTTGCTCATCACTTTGAGATTCCAACATCTTGCTCTAGCTTTCCTGTTCCCCTCAGCCAATATATTATTCTCAGCCACAACAACTGCATTTGAGTTCCCAGCAACAAAAAATGAGTAGGCTTTTTTGACTGAAAATTTCTTATTAGCCACAAAGGAACAATTCCACATATCAGCTTTCCTTGGGTTCAGAGTCTTGATTTGCAGAATTTTCTCAGCATCCTCAGCAACAAATAAGGCTTTTACCAGATTAGAATCCCAATTACACCCTCCTGCAATCAATAGGTCCTTAACCCAGAACAGATGGTTATCAATATGAATTCTGAATTTAGGTTTTCTACCAACCAAACCAGGAACCCAACTGTGGTCATTCAACTTAGTATCAGCCCCATTTTTAATGATGATATTCAACTGAGATTTAAGAATAGGCAGTAAAGAAGCCCAGGATTTCAACAGCCATGAATCACTACTTGTTTGAGTCCAGTCAAAGATAGAACAATTAGGAAAATACTTACCTCTCAGAACTTGGCTGACCAGTAGTTCAGGCTGGTCCAAAAGTCTCCACAATTATTTCAGAATAAGAGCTTTGTTCAAGAGACTTATATCCAAAAATCCCAACCCCCCTTCAAGTTTTGAAGTAGCCATTTTATCCCAGGATTTCCTATGCAAACCATCAATTTGAGATCCTCCTTTACTCCACCAAAATTTAGCAAATAATCTACAAATGTTCTTACACAATCCCACAGGCAGCATAAAACATGACATAACAAATATAAGAAGAGCCTGCAAAACCGATTTGATCAAAATCTCCTTACCAGCCGTGGACAAAAGACTGTTCTTCCAACTTTCAATCCTCACTCTAACTGAATTCTCCACAAACTGAAAAGCTTCCTTCTTTGAGGCTCCAATACCTAAAGGAAGTCCAAGGTATCTTGAGGATCTTTTCACCACCACACCCCTCAGAACAGAACATATTCTCCTCACCATATCAGATTCACAATTCTTGCTTAGAAACATAGATGATTTATGCAAATTAACCTTCTGCCCTGTGAAACATTGGTATTTATGAAGAATATTCAATAACAACAAAGCATGAGACTCATCTGCCTTACAGAAAACCAATGCATCATCTGCAAATAATAAATGTGAGAGCATAGGTCCACCCCTTGTAATCTTAATACCCCTGAACTGGCCAACACTGGTGGCATGATTTAAAACAGAAGAAAGAGCCTCTGAAACCAAAATGAATAAATAAGGAGATAGGGGATCCCCCTGCCTGATTCCCCGAGTAGCTCTCACAAACCCACAATTCATCCCATTCAGATTAAAAGAGAATGTTGGGAAAGAAATGCAACTGATTATCCATTTAATGAAAGTGCCATGAAAACCCATTTTCTGCATAATTTTCTTAATGCTGTCCCATTCTACCCTATCATAAGCCTTCTCCATGTCTAATTTAACAGCCATGAATGCTTGAGACCCAGACCTATGTCTATGCAAAAAATGGAAAACCTCATGGGCTATCACAACATTATCTAACAGATTTCTCCCAGGGACAAATGCAGTTTGAGCAGGGCTAATACATAAATGAAGGCACAACTTCAGTCTCTCAGCAAGTACTTTGGCAACAATTTTATACAGCACACCACAAAGAGAGATAGGCCTGAAATTACTTAAGGATTCTGGATACAAGCATTTTGGAATAAGAGTTATCACTGTGTGCTTCCAGTTTTTGAGTAAAGTACCAGAACTGAAAAAACTTTTAAAAGCATTACACACATCCACTTTGATAATATCCCAAAAATGTTTAAGAAACGAGGCAGTCATACCATCATCCCCTGGTGCTTTGTCAGACTCCATCTTGAAAAGTGCAGCTTTAATCTCCATCTCTTGAATTGGTTAAAGAAGTCTGTTGTTGCTGTCTTCAGTTATGGAATGAGATATGTACTGTAATAGCTCCTCACCTCCTGCAGATCCTTCAGATGTAAATAAAAAAGAGTAGAAGTCCACCATGTGATTTGCAATAGTCTCCTGGGACTCACACACAACCCCTGTATTAGTGACAAGTCTCTGGATCAAGTTGGTCTTCCTCCTTTGGGAAATATAAGCATGAAAAAACCGGGTGTTTCTATCCCCCTCTTTCATCCACAAGGCTCTGGACTTTAATCTCCAGAAATTCTCCTCCTCTTTATGAGCACAATCTAGTTCAGCCTTTAAGGAGTCCCATTCCTCCCAGTCCCTCTCCTGCCCTCTCAACCTCATCTCTTCCAATCTAGGAGTCAGAGTCTTGATAATCTTATCACTGTTTCTGCTAATGGGTTTGTGCCATGCAAGCAAGGCCATTCTGGTGCTCTTAATTTTTTGGTGAACTTCGTACATCTGAGACCCTTCCACAGAAATTTGCCACCCAATTTGAACTGCTTCTTTCACTCCCTCCAACTTTACCCAAGAGTTATCAAACTGAAACCTCTTCTTCCTTCTATCATCCTCCATATCAGTATAAAAAATCATCACATTGTGGTCAGATGCTGTTCTAAAGAAATTAATAACCTCCATCCTAGGGAAAGTCAGCATCCATTCATATGATATGAATACCTTATCAAGCCTCTCTTCAATATAGCCATCCCCAGCTCGATTATTACCCCAAGTAAAAAATGCTCCCTTTTGATCCATTTCCTTCATTCCCATATTTGCAATGAAAGAGTTGAAACCTCTGGAACTGGACTCAAGTCTCCTCACTCCCCCTCTCTTCTCCTCATTACAAGATATATCATTCCAGTCCCCAGCCAACACCCAGCATCTACCCCAATTCTGCTTGTTGTTCTCAAGAAACTCCCACTGTCTTTCCCTTTCATGTCTATCTGTGCTCATATAAACAAAAATCGACCAGCACCACTCTCTAACACCTGCTCCTTTGGCTTCCACTTGCATACAGAAGTTATTAGCCAACAACTGCCTGATCTCAATATTCACATCCCACATCACCAACATACCTCCTCTAGTACCATTAGGCTTTTCCAAAAACCATCTACTCTCAAAACCCAACTGTCGACACACTGTATTAATAAAAGCCCAGGACTTTTTAGTTTCTGATAAAAATATAATATTTGGGTTGTGGACTCTTTTAGAGTCCTTGATCTGGGAAACTGTAGAGGACCCACCCAGCCCTCTACAGTTCCACACCATAGCTTTCATTGGTCACCTCGGGGCCACTTTAGGCTGGCCTTCTCCACCTTAGACTCATCACTGTCAGCTTTCAACTTCTTCTCTTTGCCTTCTTGATCAAGAATCTGCAGACCCCCCTCATACATCACAATCTCTTTTTTTCTCTTCAATGTCTTAATAGTCTTCTCCCCTTTAGATACCTCAATAGCCAGGGAACTATGTGAAGGCTGCTCAGACATTCTCAGTAATCTGCCTGTATTGTGCTGCTTCCTCTTCCATGAAGCTCCAGCCTTTCCTCCAACAGCTACCTTTGGCGTACTTGTAATTCCCCTCTCAACAGTAGTTTTAGTAGCCAATTCTTGGTTTTCCATCTCCAATAGGACTTCTACATTCCCCTCTCCTATGACATTCGTATGCTGTCCAATTTGTTCCCCAGATATAATGAGATCTAAGTCCTTAGAAGCAACAGGCTGTATCATACTCTCTAAATTTGACCCCCTCACCTGATTTGATTGCTCCCCAGTGACTACAATCTAAATTTGTTTGTTTTTGATGGGTGTAGTACTAGTAGCCACAAAGGAGTCATGATTTGAAGGCTGTTGTGGTGGATTACTCTTGCCTTCTGAGCTGCTAGCCTGATAATTCCGCCCTCCATGATATGTTTCCTTAGCCTTCAGCCATTCCCCAAATTGCCTTTCAACAGGTGTGCCCTTTTCAATATCCTCCGATCTGCGTTTACATCCCCGATCAAGGTGCCCGATCATCCCACAATAATAACATAGATTAACAAGTCTTTCATAACGAAATGTCACCACCACCCTTTGCTCACCTAGCTTAACCACCGTGCATCTTGGAATCGGCTCTTTCAGATTCAATGTAACCAAAATTTTGAGGAAGCTCCCCATTTCCCCTCCTACTTTACAAATAACAACATTTTTAACTCGATTAAATATCCTTCCAATGCACATACCCACTTCCGTGCTCATCCAGTTAAGAGGGACGTTCATCACTTGCACCCAGATGTTAATCTCATTGAAACACTCATGGAAACTATGAAGCCCAGGTACCCATTCTGTCAATATAAGATATTGATTTTCGTATAACCAATTATTACCCGCTGCAACTTTTGCCTTATCCTCCTAAGAAGTGAAAATGAATTGGAAAAAATTAGAACTTATCTCTTTCACTTCCATCGCTTGTTGTAGCTTCCAGATGTTACTCATGGTACGTTTGATCCCCATTAATTCTCTCGTTGAGAGCGAAATTCTCTCGTTGAGAGTGAAATTCTTGCTGTGGGAGTTGGTTAGATTGATTTTGCTTTGATTGGTAGATACTGTGTTCGGACTCTGGGTTGCGGAGTTTCTTTTTAGGTTGTACTTGGGCTGTTAGGGTTCCCTTGGTGGGCACTGGTATGGGAGACAAAATTGGGGGTCGCGTTACTGAGGGTGATCTTAGGGAAGATGTTCTAAGGAAGCTGCAAACATGCTCGTTGTCAGCCAAGGAAACTGGAGAAATTGAACTGCCAATAAATATTGATAAACCAATAAACAATACTTCCAGTAATATATGCTGGACAATTGGATTCTTCATAGTTATTTATCAAACAATCAGTAAATAATCCAAAACCAATTGTTGGTCACTTACAAAACCAATTGCAGGCATACAAAACAAAGTCATGATGAGTATTGTTTATATCCTTCAATTCACTTACAAAACCAATCAGTAAATGGAACTGGAAAAAACTTTTACGGCAATTTAACATGCCAATTAAATAATTCTCAACAAAGAAGCAAATAATTCTAACATATGCGGGTAAACACACATATATTTGATTCAATTCAAAGTATGGTAAATCACACATATATTTGCGCTAACATATAGAACATCAATTTCATGTCTGCCAAATAATTCCAACATATGTTGATCACTCATATATATGCGCCAACAACTCATTCCGCACGAAAGAATCCATTTAAACAAACAACAATTTCATTCAATGTGCCGCATATGACCACAAACTTTAATTGGCAAAGTAATTAAGCATAAACACATGCTCTGATACCACATATAAGAAATTTAACGGGCATACTCATAACTATTAGGCGGAATTGAATAAACCCTAAGCATGTAATTCTATCAGTTCATAGAATATGGATCTTTGCATAAATTAAATTGCACATAGAAACTTACAATAATTCATAAGTCCTTCCCTGTTTTCTTGTATGTCTGATCTTGCAGTCTGTCAATCCCGATCCCAAGCCGTGCGCCAATCGTGTGTTTATATTCTCTCTCCGTTGTATGTCTGATCTTGCAGTCTGTCAATCCCGATCCCAAGCCGTGCGCCTGCTTCTCTCGTCTTTTCACAAAGCTCTTGATGTTGAGAACTTTATTTTCGTATGAGATGGGAGAGAGGGGCATGTAGTATATATAGGATGAGTCCTACAAACCTATTCCTACTAACATTCCCCATGTTGTAACCTAACTTACTGTCCAAGTCAAACATCACAAATTTGACTATTTAATATTAGAACATTAATAATCTATTAAATACATATTCACCTTAAATAAGTTTGACTATTAATTCAATTAGGTCCAACTAATTATATGGCCCATAATAATAGAATAATATATAAAATATTATTACAGCAGGTACCTCACCCTTATTAGTAGGGAGTGACAAATTTGAATTTACCTATATTTTCCAGAATTCATCTTCTACACATACTCATTTAAGTATCGGAGACTCTTCACCGGAAAATCCCTACGGTGTGAGAATTTTTGCAAGTCGAAGGCGTTCAATAGGCGAGGAAGCACGTGAGCAAGCCGATCCAAGCCGATCGGAGGTCTTTTTCATATCAAAACTGATAAAAAAAATAAAAGTGAACTTAAAGTTATAATTATAAATTATTTTTGTTTTGATAGTCACTTCTTAAAAGAAAAAAAAAAATAGTCTTGACTGACCGAGAAGGCCCCAAAATTGAGCAGGTCGACCCGATTGCTACCGATATGAGTGGGTCAAGGTCAACTGTCGGACTTGGTAGACTGTTGAGAGAGCCTTTCCAGCTAATTTCACCATTGTTTTGTTAGGCCATAAATAATAAATTTGGTCTTTTTCCCAAAAGACAACGCTCTCACGCTTCTCCTCCTTTTCTTGGCATTATTATTATTATTATTATTATTTATTTATTTTTTTGGACAAGGAGCAAACGAAAAAGCGTGATTAATTATTATTATTATTATTAATTTTTTTTTTATTTTTTTATTTTTGGACAAGGAGCAAACCCAAAAGCTTGACTTTGATTAATCCAGGAAGAAGGGAATGTCGAGGAAGAAGGGAATCGCATGGATAGTGTAGTTTTTGGTGGTTTTATGACTTTGATTAATCCATCAAAGTAAATAAGGGATATTTTAGACAAAATTTATCCCTAAAAGTAAACATGAGATTAAATGCTGATGTAGAAAGTGGTGGGGATTAATTTGTGTTATCCCATCCTTGAAGTAAACGACGCCTAATTAAATTCTACATACTAATCGGGCCTGGTATCCCTATGTTTTCTTTCCCATATAATGTAATGCTTCATCTTGATACGAATTCCGCCGATCATCTTATGCTTCGTTCATCACCATGGGCAATCCAGAGATGTATCTAATCTGATGCATGCCGATTTACTCCCAGGTATACTTTGTTTCTGCCTCCCGACTAAAACATTGTTAGTTGAAATGAACCGCTACCTTTTCAATTCAGTGCGAGTTCTTGATTGAATGGAAAAATTAACTTTAGAATCATTCCGTTGGTTGATTTTAACAACCATCCATCAGACACTAGTACAAAGAGAAGAATTTGAGGCTTTTACAATGGAGACTTCTAAGGCATCTGCGACGTTGCCTGATCACTGTGGACCAAGCTTGCTTTTGGCTTTGCCTGATGATGTATTTACCGTGATCACGAGTTCCCTCTCCCCAAGTGATGTATGCATTCTCGGACTTACCTGCCGAGGTCTTCATTCCATTATGGCCTCTGACAAAGTATGGCTTGCCCAATGTGTTAAATTAGGGCTACTCCCCTGCAATACCTTACTTGAATGGAGAAAGGGCGTTTGCTCTTACAAGGCCCTTTGCCGCTTCTTTTTGAGCATTCATCCATTGATCGGCATTTGGGTTCACCAAAATCCTGAGCTCGGCAATGTAGTCTACGTTATGCCTGGTTTTCTATCTCTTGCCGGCTGCCGAATAATCCCACAAGAGGTGGGCCCTCTTGGCCTCGATGAAGGTCCTATTCTGTGGACACCTGTGTTTGAAATCCTCTGTGATCATGAGGGGTCCACGTCCTTCTTTCTCCATGGGAGGGAAAGAGGTACAGATTATGTCTATCCTGGTGTGCTGAAGCCTGTGGACAGAACATGCAATGTGCTTTTGCTCGAGGTCGAGCCCAGGCATCAGAGGCATGGAGGAAAACTTGCCTGTAGTAAGAGCCTCGAGCAGGAATTGGATAAGGAGGTGCCACGGAGAATATCAAGATCTGACAGTGATGGTGGGGTTTTTAAGATGCATAGAGATATTGGACAGAAAAGGAGTGGGATGTCTTTCAGCCGTTTGTGTTTTGCTGATAGGAGAAGGCTCTTGGATGTCGTCACTAGTCAAGTCAGACAAGTTGGGCCTGAGGCAGCAAACTCACTTATGTTCCCTCGAGTTAGAGATGATGGTGAGTTTGATTCGGAAAGGGATTTATCGGCATTACATGAAAGGAGATTGTTGCTTTTGCAGATGTATAGGCGTGGTGGTGGGGATAATCAAGATTTGAAGCCTGGCACGGAATTCCCTTCAAGTCCTGGAGCTTTAGGATTGAGTGAAATTTGCAAGAGTCTTGATTGTAGTGATGAATCTCATGATCAGGACAATTACACCAAGGGAAAAACACTAACTGGGTTTCTAAAGAATGGTCTGAAGCAAATACTGTTGGGGAAATCGAGATCCACCCACTTGAACCGTGAAGTTCAAAGAAGGAATGCTTCTAGTGTTGAGAGCAAACATGTACAACTGCATGAGTTTTTAAAATCAGGTGATGCTATAGGGCTGAGCTTGCGTGCTACAACTATGAAGTTATCTTCCTACAGATCGTGGCCGAATATGCATGACAGCCGATTTGCCCTTTATAAGTTGCCCTTATGGGCTCCAAAGCCCGAACACGAGTACGCGGGGCTATGGGGAGGTACTTTTGGCTGGCCTCCTGGAAAGCTATCTGAGGACAAGCCTGGAAAGGCTCTTTTTTTTATCTTGATCTCTTATGAAGAATCTGGAGAGCAACAACTGCTAAATGCCACCAAGATCTTAGAAGGCACATCCTATGTTTTGCATCCTAATGGATCTGCCATGTTCATAGTAAATATGGCTCAACCATCGATGGATAGATTCCCCTGTGGTACTGATGAAGGCTTTGATTGTACTGACGTTAAGCAGTCTTTTATGGGGGAAGGTATAGCAAATGGGTATGGGTTTAGGTATCCTGGTTCTAAACCTGGGACACTCTTTGTCATGGAGAATGGATTGCTCGTTTTCATCTGGAAGGAGTCTAGGGCTGTGTTGACATTGCAGAGGCTTGACTTGGACTATCTTTTGAGGAATGGTGAAAGGGTGCCTTCTTTATCCCCAGTTTCCAACTTTGCATATCTGACCAAGACATACTCGAATGTTTTTTCTGGATTTTCAAATTCCTCTAATGCTCTGGCTTCAACCAAGGTATCCTTGTCCTGTTCATTGTAAATGTATCCATGTAATTGTAAGAGATTTCCTCTCATCTCAACTTTTTGTTGCACGCTACACACGTGAATATTCTTCTATGCCATCTCTTTAAAACATGAAGCCTAAGTACATTGTCTGAAATGACAAAAAATTATACTCTTTTCTTGTCATCCCATTTTTAGATTCTGAATGAACATTTCTTGTCCGACTCTGATAATACTAAGTGGCTGTGTATACTCCTTGCCGACCCGATCATTTTATACGATGCACAGTTAAACTTTAGATGCAATGCTGAGGAGAATTTTTCTGTTACGGTTGTTTGCAAGTTCTCAGAGTCCAGTTTCTATGAAGCTAATTGCATTTGGAAAATCAAAGTATTTAAAAATTCCAGATGCATTACATGCTCGACTTCTGAAGGATTTTGGAATAAAGATGGTACCCGTAATAACTCGGTCGAAGCCGAACCGACCGAAATTTCGGTTTGTCCAACATAAAGACCGAAAACGGGATAAAATTTGTGGTTCGGTTGGGTTTCAAACCATAAATAAATCGGTTGGATCTGTTCGGTTACAGGTTAGCCAATAAAATGAATAAATTAAAAAAATATGGCAAAATCTATGAGTTGTAAATTACAAAAATAAAAATAGCTAGATAATTAATAATTTCACTTAACAAAACTAAAACACATTAAAAAAAAGGATAACTTGTCCAAAAACACAAGTGTATTAAGTCTAATATGGGGGGCGGGGGCGACTGATATAAATCAAAGCCGATTTTGAGTTCAAGGGAGTTGGTTTAAAAAAGAAAAAAAAGTAGATTTAGTGGAGGATTGAGTCTTATTTTAAATTTGCATTTAAATAATATTTAAAATGTAATGACTAAAATTGATTTGATGTAACAGTAGGAGACAAATTATTGGAAATAATTGGTAATTAAAAATATGAGAGTGAAGGAATAGTGAATTAAAATTTATTTGATGCATGAGGATGATTGATTGATAGAATTTAATTATATTGATAATAATGAGGAGAGTTGGATCGGATTAAATTTTAGTTGGATTTTGAGTTAAAGAACGTAAAAAAATTATCCTATCGGCCAAAGTCGATTTTAATCTGTAGCCTATCGCTCCTAAGTGTTCCAATTCTATCAAGTGTCATATATATACACATGATTAAAATCGGTAGTATTGTGGGAGACGAGCATATTTTGAGAATTGTCTAATTGGTATAAGCGATTAAACTAGACTATTTTATTTTTATTTTAGTTTGATTATTTGTGTAGGAAAATAGCATGTGCTTGGGCTTAGGCTAGCTAGTGAGATTTTTTATACAACAACAACAACAACATACCCAGTATATTCCCAACAGATTGGGGTCTGGGGGGGGGTCAGTTGTACGCAGACCTTACCCTTGTAATTATACAAGGAGGCTGTTTCCGTAGCGACCCAAGGTGCATTGCGCCGTTTGATATATTTTTTTTTCTAGAAACTTCACTAATAGAAGAAGCACTAGTGAGATTTTTTATATTCTTCTAAATTATTTTGTGTCAATGGGTTTGGTGTAGATAATATATCATTCTATTGGGCATTGTATATTTATGTATAATATGTGTTTTCATTTTTTTTCGGTTCGGTTAACCGAATACTTATATCCAAATCGAACCGAAAATCGAATTTAAAAAAAAAATCGAAGCGGAACCAATTATTCGGTTTTGGTTTAAATTGAATTTTTGGTTTGGCTCGGTTAACCATATTTTGTGCACCCTTAACAATATATATCTCTTTATGAGTATATATACATATATATATATATATATAATTCTTACTTTATCCGACTTTGAACCACCTAAGTAATTCAAATACATACTGACCATAATATATATAATTACTACTTTATCCGGCTTTGAAACACTTAAGTAATTCATATACATACTGACCATAATTAGCATATTGAACGGTTGCAGAATCCTTCACAGTGTCATACGTTTAGATTATTACTGATTGGGATTGATAGATCTAGGCAATGATTCTTTGGCAGTTATGACATTCCCTTGCCTGTGTTTTATTCTTCTTGTTATAAACTACTGATGTCCTAACATTCTTATCTCACTTACTTTTTGGGTAAGTTGTCGGTTCCTTTTGACGTCTGGATCTTCATAAGTAGATTCTTAGATGTTGATGCTATCTTGTGGATTACTATTTATCACATTACGCCTGGATGATGCCTTTTGGTTAATATAACTTCCGGAATCATTCATCATTTCTTGTGATGCATGTTTATTTCGTGCAGGCATAACCAATTGTACACCTTGCACTTGTTGGTATTCTATTAGGCTGTGATCAATATTTTGTTTTTGGTCAGTGTCTTGTTAATGGATGAAAAGCAAATGACCATCCTTCCCGTAATACACTTTGTCAATCTGATTCTTTCTCAGTTGCCGTGAAATAAAGAGTTCTCTACTTGACAAAAGGTTTGATATATATTTGTAACTGTAGTTAGTATTGATATGTTGACCAAGTCGTCAGTAATGCGTTAGAAAGTGAATTGCAACCATGGGATGGGATTTGGAGATGTAAAGCTGGTTTATTATTTAAAGAAAAAATTGGGCATTGAGCGATGATAAATTTTGGTCAGAACATCTACTTGCATTTGTTATGTGAACCTTCATTGTGTTTGTATGGGGAATTGAAGCCTTGCTCTTGCATGTTTCAGTGGTTATATTTTTTTACATGCCATTCTATACGGTGGAACCATTATAAAATTTCTTGGAGTCAAATTGAAAATTTTGATAAACAAGGTTTTAGAACAGAATTTTACATTTTTCTGCAGGTGCTTTATGAAATAGCAAATTTTGCAATCTACAAGATGAGCTGAAATGATCACTTTTCATCCTCTTAATTTCTTCATTGCAACCCTTTTTCGTGGGTCTTGGTTATTTGTAGTTTTCATCTCGTAGAAGACACTGATTAATTCTATCCCTTGTAAATCTTTTACCTTAATACTCAATATCAGATGTTGTGAAAATTGTTAACCAATTTTTGTATTCTCTATTCACAGAGAGAGAGAGAGAGAGAGAGAGAGAGAGAGAGAGTTTCTTGGCTGACTTATTAAATTGATACATTTTCCTAAACAATGGTACANTCCCATTATAGGCTTCAGCGAGAACTTGATTGAGTGATTTGAACATAGTTAATGACATGTAATGCTCTCTATGCTTCCAAGCCAAGAGCAAAGATGTTCACCATATTATGATTGTTCTCCATGGTAGAAATATGTAATCAACTACACCTTCATGAGCTAGACAAGAGTCGCAATAATCCTTGGATGCTCGTCCTCCATTTTCCGAAGGTGATGATTGACTGCTACACATCATTGATCTTTGCCTTTTGTTTTTCTTTTCGATTGAGCGAAGAAACAGTTTGATTCCATAGAATTGAGGCTTGTGCTCAACCTACCTTGCTAACCATAAGTTTTGGCATCAATTGTTGTATTAGTTACAGGCTGTTGTAGTTTTTTATATGTTCTGTAGAAGTAATTTACTATAATGAGAAATAGAAAATGTATTGGTTTAGTGGACTCGTTGGGACTTTTCTGTGAAGGCGTTGTATTTTCTGCTATACATAAAACTTTGAATTAGTGTTGTAATCGAACACAATGAGTTGAGGTAACGAATTTTGAGCTCGTGTTTATTTATGTTCGAATTCTATTTGTGTTCATTCGATAATTTTGAGCAAATTTGTGTTCGAGCTTGTATGTTTAATTAATCATTAATATTTGATTTCGTTGGTGTTTGAAAATTTTAGAAAAACAAGCTTTTTAAATTATTTGATTAACATGAAATTTGTTCTTTCAAATGCTTTCGAGCTTCAAAATAAACAAATAAAAAAAATATTTTATATTTCTTATTAAAAACATATGATATGAGAAAATTACCCCGTGGACGACCCTTATTTCTTTGATAGACATAATGACGAGAATAAGTTTGTAATGCCTTATTGATGCTAACAGTTCCACTAAGACGAAGTTTATTGATACCAAATAAATTAACAATTTTATATTCTATAAACCATTTTATATTTCACAAATTAAACCTTCTTTTTCTCCCTTATCTCTTCACCATTACCTTTTCTTCTTCCTTTCCGATTTCTTGGCATCACACAAAGATACACAGACCACCAAAAAAAACATTTAGACCGAATTCTTCTTTTAATTTCTGATTCGCGAACAACAAACCTCGCCTCATGCAATCAATTGATGAATTATGGCGGCGGCGACTTGGATTTGAGATCGACAACCGGCGGCATAACAGGAAGATGGAGGGTTTCATCATCCAACTCTAAATAATGAGGCGGCGATTGGATCCGCGAACTACACCCGATGACGATTGAAGATCCAACCCATAGTGTTGTTTGATTTTACTTATGGACTATGAGTAGTTTACTGTATGCATATTTTTATAATGGTAATTTTTTTTATAATGTGATGAAAAAATCTTGGGTGAATTTCTAGTTTTTTCTTGGTTCTATTAAAGTTTATCTCTCCCATTGCACACTAACTGGTGTATGAAATGAAGATTTGAATGAATTTATCAGTAGTTTATCAGTAGTTTATCAGTAGTTTAGTAACTTATCGGTAGTTTATCAGTAGTTTATTAGTAGCTTGTCAGTAGTTTATCAGTAGTTTATTTTCCCACACTTTCAATCTCATCATCCTCAACCAAATCCCCATTCCCAAACCCATCCCCATTCTTGATAACACTTCGATTTCTGGTCGAATTCTGAGGTACAAGCCTCAAATCCGGAGAGGGAGGCCGGTCGGTCTGAGGCGGGGTGGCGGATTCGATGGAGGTAGACGGCTGCGACGATCAGGGTGGTGACGCACGCCTCCTACGCTTTTAACTGCTACTGGCACAAGAATAAGGAGACCGAGAGCGGGAAAAAATTAGGATTGACGCGTTGATCATGGAAATTGCACGTCACAGAAAATCAGGATTGTAGCGGCGGTTTTTGTTTTCATATTTATGGAGATTGTGTTATTTTAAGAAGAAATTTAATAAAAAGTACACTTATGTGATGAAAAAAATTGTTTCGTATTATAGGCATTAATGTTACTTACAGACGTGTATGCGTCCTTTAGCCTTAACATATCCCTTATACTATGTGTTGCTAGTTTTGCTTGGGCCATGTTTTTTTGTTAGGATTATTATTATTATTTATTGAATGTGTAATTGTTATTATTTGCCTAATTGACTATTGTGTAATAAATAAATGTGTGAATTAACTAATGTGTGTATTATATATATTGCCGGATTTTATTTATTAAATATTCCGATCGTCGTCGTGTAATTTTATTTTTATTTTTATTTTTTTTCGTCGCCAATCGAATCAATCGAGAATTCGTGTTATCGCGTATTCTTTTTATTTTCGGCTGTAACGAATCATTTCAGTCTTTATGCCGAGTTTATTTTTCCAGCCCAAAGAGTCTATGGCCCCTTTCTTTTAATTATCCTTGGCCCATATTACTTGAGCATTTTCGGTCACTTGGAATTAGATAAGTTAGCCCATTAGATTTTGTTAATTCTTGTTGGCTTTCAGCCCGCTTCTTTTTCTCTAACGTGGGAGATATTTTCAAGAGCTGTCACGTGTTTAATTGAGCCCGTAAAGAGATAATTTCTCTTCCCAAAACGACCGAGTCGTCTCCATCAGATCACTTTCGAATTTTCTGTTCCGATTTGGCCGTGAGATTTTTCTCACGTTCTCCTCGTCCTCGCGTGTATTTTTTTTCTCCAGCAGAATCATTTCCCTCATTCAAAAAAAAAAACTTGTGGTACCTGTTTCCGGTGAGTTCATACGCCCTTCCCGTTCGTTGTTGAAGTTCACGCAGAAGAATTGTCGTGCCGTCGAGAACCAGCAGTCCTCCGTCCCCGTGTTCGAAGGATTCCAGATTTTCGACTTTCGAGCTCCGGTCGCCCCTTTTTGTCTGACCCGTTTCAGAGATTTCGTAGATTGCCGGAAACGGGTAAATCTATATCGAAAACCTCTCGTTATTTTGTTCGTATTTGTATATCTTGTGGTTAGACATATATTGTGCTTGTCGATCGATTTCTTGCTTGAGATCGGTTTATTCGTTGGTTCGTATGTTCGTGGATAATTCGTGGATAATCGGAACTCTTGTTTTGCAAAATCGAACCCTTTTTGCTTGTTGTGATGTTTTGTTTAATTTCAGAGTCTCGTTTTGTTGTTTCGGAGCCTCGTTATTTTTCCCGAGCTATGGTTGTTTCGTCGTTGGTTTATTCTCGAGCCGGTTATGTCGTTCCGTTTTCGAACCTTACAAACCCGATTTTATGAAAATTTCGAATCCTGAGGATTTGTTTTATGTTTGAATTTTTTTTTTTTTTGGACCTCTGTTCGCTTTCGGGAAGGTGTAGAGGAGAAAGAAAAATTTTAGTTATGTCCCTGTTCTTTTTCCATCCTCTGCTCGTGGTTGCAGAAATTTTTATTTTTCAGTCGCAAGCCTTGTTTTAACTTTAGTAACGATACCTTTCATTTAATTAACATCCAAGCAAGTCGTCCAGTGGCGTGCTGCGCTCTCTTTCGTGATGGTGGTCCTGAGTTCGAATCCCAAACCCTGCAGCTCCTTTTTAATATTTTGCCCAGCCAGGCTATTTCTAAGGCGCGCGGGCCGTTTGGCCCGTCTCTAGCCCGCGCGCAGCCCGCCAAGAGTCAGTCTCCAGGAGCCCGCGAGCCCGCATTTCGGCCCTGATTTCAGCCCGCATGGCCAGCAGCCCTTCAGCCTTGGGCCAAGCCTTTTTTCGGCCCAAATATGCACACTCCAGGCCCATTTCAGGGGCATAAATTTGTGTTCACTGTCCAGCGCGGCCCATTTGGCTTTTTAGTCCGTTTTTGAGTTCCGAAAGCCGTTTTTAATACCGATTTTAGTTTTAAAAATATTTTTAAAATGATAAAAATTTGAGAAAAATTAAGTTAAGTCCCGAGACTCCATTTTTGTTCCCCGAGTCTTTTCTTTTAAAAATGTGAGAGTTCCAAATCCACGAAAAATCCGATAAAATCCTTTAAGCCTTAATTTTGATTAACTGTGGGTTTTATGTTAAATTCGAGTAGTGAGATAGATTATTGATGTATTGTATCACTTAATTGTAGGTGTTTGAGGAGTCGAACCCTCGACCTACTTATATGCTATTTCAGTGTGATATCCTACCTCGATTTCCAGGTGGGTTGTTATTCAAAAATTATCTATGCATATGTTTGATTTTAGTCATGTTGCAAATTTGGTGTGATCTATGTATGAAAATGAACATGTAGCCCATCGATGTGAGCTGTTACGGTCGTCGGTACGGTTGTCCCCGTCGAGTTACGGTACGGTGCCCTTCTGTGGCAATCTCCTTGAAGTCCTGATATGATCGTGCCCTTGTGAGGTACGTAAGCCCATATGGAAGGCCGTGTCCGTTACAGTGGCACGTACTCCCGCCTTCGGGTAATGAATCCCCGTTCTGCGGCTAGCGATAGATGTGCACAGGAGTAAGGTTAAATGGTGTGCTTTTGATTAGGAGATGAGACATGTTGTGATCATTGTTTATGTTCATGCTGCGACCATACCATTGTTATCTTATTCATATGCATAGTGTGAGTACGATATTTAACTGTACTCACTCCCACCTGCTCTTCACGGATGCAGGTTAAGCAGTTGGCGGGTGACGAGGCAAGACGAGTGGGTGGTCTTGCTTTTGTTTAAGACTGATATTTACTTCCGCATTTATGAACTTGTTATGGTTTATTTGATTATGTTTGAACTAGTGATTTTGGATAAGAGTTGGACGGATTTGAATACTTGGGTTTTATGCTGTTATTTATTGTTATTTTGAATCTTGACAAATGTGTTGGTTCATTTTGATCTTCTTGTGTGTTGGATAAATTGCTCTTGGTAAATAAGTAGCGCCCTTTGAATTTTAAACTTAATCGAGATTTTGAAAAATTAACTCTGATTTTCATTAAATAAATTTGATAAATCTTTTAAAATTAAGTGGGGCGTTACAATCCAACTATAGAATTCTCATAAAAATAGACGAGAACGTCAAGCCGAGTACAACCCAAATGGAACAGACACTGGGAGACACACTTTAACAGTGGTCTAGAAACGAATACCCACAACACGGCTAAAGCAGGGACAAATACCCCGGATCCTTTACCCGGCTCAGACCACCAAGAAACAAAAAGAAACGAAAAACCACCCGCAGCACAACTAATGGCAAAAGACGGGCATCCTGATACATACATAAAATCAGCCCGCATCACATCTAAAACAAAAAGAAAAAAAGAACCGCCCACAACGCTATTAACAACAAAAGCCGGGCAAAAAATACAGAAAATCCGAACAGGCTAAAAATAGAAGAACATGAACAAGACTAATAACAGAACACCTGAAAATGCTAACAACAAGACAAGAAACCAGAAAAGCAAAAAGGACACAAAACTGATCACTTGACTAGCCTGGCCACATTCTCGAATTCCTGCCACTCAACCCACGCACGCTTGGCCACCACATGTTCAGGAATCCACACCTTTTCGAACAACCACAAGTTTCTCGACCTCCATAGCCACCACAGCAGGTAAGTAGACAGTTGGATCCTGGCTTCGGAGGTCTCTGTTTTGGCAATCGTGCACACCTGCCACCACCACTGCTTGAAGGTTGAGTTATTCAGGTGACCTTCGTCCCATTCTAACTGAGAGAGTTTCCACACCAGTTTAGCTCTTCTGCACCTGAAAAATAAATGCTTCATCGTCTCCTCCTCCTCTCTGCACATCTGGCATATAACATCGACTTGTACTCCTTTCTTCTCCAAGTTGCAACTTACTGGCAGAATGCCTGAAAAGCTCCTCCATACGAAATTCTTTAATTTTGCTTTGACTCGTAACTTCCAGCTCTTGTTTCTAGCCTTCCTGTCCATACCAACAGATTGGCTGCACCCCGGAATATCAAGTTTTACCGCTTTTTCGTCCATGAGATGGGAATACGAGCTGGCCATGGAGAATTTACCCTTGTCGTCAAAAGCGCATTTCCACCTGTCAGGTATACCTGGTTGAATAGAATTGATGGCTAATATTGCACTGTTGTCTCTCTCGCTGAAATTTTTTTTAATCAGTTCCTCATTCCATCTTGTGCCCTGCACATTCATCAACTCGCGCACCCATATTAAATCATCGTGAATAGCTCCAAGGGGTTTAGGGTTCTGATGTCCCAGGTTAGGCACCCAACTATGGTCCTCGATTTTTGTTTGGTGGCCGCTTCTAATCTCGCGCGATAAACCTTTGGCAAACAGAGGTAACAGCTCCACCCAGCTAATCCAAAGCCACGAGGCGGCTAGTTTTTTTTCAGCTTCGAGGATGGAGGTAGAGGGAAAGTACCTTGCTTTTCGAAGTTGGCTCACCAGAAGGTTAGGCTCCGTGGTAATTCGCCACAGTTGCTTTAAGATCATTGCCTTGTTAAACCTTTGTAGATCCTGGAAACCAAGCCCGCCATGACACTTTGGTTGAGTCACATTGTTCCAGCATTACCAATGGATTCCACGAGATTGACCATTGTCCTTGCTCCACCAGAACTGGGCTGACAGCCAGCAAATCTCCTGGCACATTGCTTTAGGTACTTTGAAACACTCTATTGTGAAGACGGGTAAAGCATTAATAACGGCCATCAAGAGTACTTCCTTCCCCGCCTGTGAGAGGGACTTATTTCTCCAGCTGAATAGCCTGCCTTTCACTGCCTCAATCAGGTATTGGAAAACTTCTCTTTTCGATAGGCTAATGCCTAGTGGGAGGCCCAAATATCTCGTGGAGGCGTGAATCTGAATCCCATGCAGCATGCCGCAGATAAAGGATTGGGTGCGCTGACTGGTATTTTTGCTAAAAAATATGGTCGACTTGGCTAAATTGACTGTCTGACCCGTGAACCGTTGATAGGTTGTCAGAATGTCCGGTAAGACTCTAGTCTGATTTTTCTCCGCTTTACAAAAGACGAAGGAGACATCCGCAAAAAGAAGGTGCGACACCACGGGTCCTGCTCTGCTGATTTGAAGTCCTCTGAACCGGCCCTTGTCTAAGGTCACTTTGATCAAAGATGAAAGAACTTCGGATACCAAAAGAAACAGATATGGGGCGATCGGGTCTCCTTGCCGTAATCCTCGCGAGGGTTGAAGATAACCCACTGTTGATCCATTAATCAGAAAGGCAAAAGAGGAAGTAATAATGCCGGCCAGAATCCATTCAATAAACATTGTGGAAAAACCCACCCTCCGCATAATCGCTTTGATGCAGCTCCACTCCACTCGGTCGTATGCCTTAAGCATATCCAACTTCAAAGCCATGAAACAGTGCTTTCCGGTTCTGTGTCTGTTTAGGTAGTGAAACATTTCCTATGCGATGACGACATTATCAAGCAATTATCGACCGGGTATAAAAGCTGCCTGCGCCGGGCTCACACAAAGATCCAGGCACCCCTTAAGTCTTCCAGCTAGGATTTTTGCAATAATCTTGTACACGACCCCGCACAGGATAAGGGGCCTGTATTGGCTCAAAGACTGCGGATTGCTGCACTTTGGAATTAAGGTGACGAGTGTATGGTTCCAATACCTCAGGATTTGTCGGGAATCAAAGAAGCTCACAACTGCTTCGCAAATGGAAGTCTTTATTCTCTGCCAAAAGTGTTGATAGAATAATGGTGTCATCCCGTCCTCTCCGGGGCTTTGAGGGGGTTCATATGGAATAAAGCGTGTTTGATCTCTTCCTCGTCAACTGGAGCCGTAAGAGTTGTGTTCATGTCATCCGTCACCACGTTCGAAATGTCTTGCAGAGCAATCTCATCATCACAGGTTCCATCTGAAGCAAAGAGAGTCTGGTAGAACTAAATAATGTGCTTCTCAATAGCAGCTTGTGATTCAATGATTCTGTTCCCGTCAACTAATCTGGTGATAGCGTTTGTTTTGCGTCTCTGCTGTGAATAGACGTGGAAGAAGCCGGTATTTTTGTCACCTCCCCGCAGCCACTGGATTCTCGACTTTTGTTGCCAGTACTGTTCCTCTAAAATGTGAGCCTCGTCGAGTTCCTTCTGTATGCTCTCCCACTCGTCCCAGTTTCTGTCACCACCCAACTTCCTTGTCTCTTCCAGTGTAAGGGTTAACTTATTGATCCTTTCCTTCCTCTCTGAGTTAAAGGATTTACTCCATCTCGACAGAGCTACTCTTGTCTTCTTAATATTCTCTTTCAGTCTGCACATGGGAGTTCCTTCTAAATTATCCACCCAGCTATCTTGCACTATTTGCTCAAACCCCTCCAGTTTGATCCACCTTTTATCGAAAGAAAATTGCCGACTCCTTCTCTTAACTGTAAAATCCGTCTCCACTAAGAGGGCTCCATGATCGGAAGCACTTCTGAATTGGTTCATGGACTGGGCTAGGGGGTGGAGAAAGATCCAGTTCCATGATCCAAAAGCTCGGTCAAGCTTCTCTTCCACGTACCCTTCCCCTTCCCTGTTATTACCTCACATGAATGGGTAACCTTTGGAGATGAATTCGGACATGCCCATCTGTTCAATAAAACTGTTAAATCCCAGGACACTATATTGTGTTCGAGCTCCGCCACCCTTCTTCTCATCGATGCTCCTGATATCATTCCAATCACCCATTATAACCCAGTTGCCTCCCCAAGACTCTCTGTCAGCTAACAAGGAAGCCCACTGTCTCTCTCTTTCTCCTCTATCTGTGATCATGTACACGAAGATCCACCATTCATGTTTATTATCCTTCGGGGACTGAACTTGAGCTTGGTTACAGAAGCTATTGCCCTTGATTTGAATGATCTGCACCTCTGAGTTCCAGCATAAGAGCAAGCCCTTTTCCAACCAACTGGCTCTATAACAAAAAATCGGTCTTCAAACCCAAGCTGCTTACATACTTTAACATTAAATTCTTTTTGTTTTTTTACTTCGGATAGGAAATTAAAATTGGGGTGATGAGCCCGAATGGACTATCGCAATTGGGAAACTGTAGAGGTCCCACCCTGACCTCTACAACTCCACACCACTGCTTTCATTTTCCAGTCAGGAGCCACTCTTGGCTGGATGCCTCTACCACCGCATCGTCAAACTTTTGTTTCTTGCTGATCTGGCCCTACCTCGTCTTACCCCTATCCTCCTTCTTGGTGCCATCTTCCTCTATTCTGCTTCTTTTCAGAATTGAGGGACTGTCAGAAATGATGATCCCTTGTTCTTTCCTGTTCAGTCTCCTTTCTTTGGTTGTAGTCCGCTTCCACATTTTCTTCTCAACTAGAGGAGCTGATTCGGCAATCACTGCGGCTTTCCCCTTAGCTTTGGCCAACCCTTCAAGGTCTTGAGAAGGTTGTTCTGAAATAATTTCCATCTCCGGATTAAGTGGCTGGATGGCCCTCCTGTTATTGACGGTGCTAACCACACCTTCGTGGTCATGATACGGTTCTGAGATATGTGCAACTGGTGATTCAATTATGCAAAGACTTCTGACAGGCTGGCATTTGCTCCCTTGATGGCTCGCTGCACCACTGCCCTGTTGGTTAGAGGAGTCTCGGACTTCTTTTGTGCTTGCTTCCATAGGTCTACAAAAACCAAGAGGTGTGTATTGTAACTATCTTTGAAGTTGGAATGAAATTTTCGATCGTTTGAAAAAAAAAGAGAGGCATTATTTCAATTTTATAACAAATCCCTATTTGTAATTTTATTTTTTTTTCATCAAGACAAAAATGACACTGTTTTTGTTGGTTTGTATACTAATATCTCGAAAATATTTACAAATGTATTGTCACGTTTTTTAATGAAAATCATGTTTAGTCAAAAGTGCTTGTTCTTTTATTTTATATTTAGCTAATATGGTTCGATTGTTGGTTTTTGTAACGCCCTGTTTTTTAATAAAAAGCATAGCACGTTTTGTATTCATTTAAGCTCGAGTAATGTTTTTAATTATAAAAATTACCTAACATAATGTATCATCATTAATCTTATAATTTATTATAAATAATTAATTTAGCCAAATTGAATCATTAAAGACAATTAACTAAAAATAAATTTAAGTATATGTCCCCATCTATATTTGTTTTCTAATTTTGTTAATCTAATTGATCTAATAATTAACCTAATCAAATAGTTTCCTAAAATTAGCAAAAGAAGAGAATAGGAAATTTTTCCTAAGGAAACTTGAGCTAAACTCGGCCAAAATTCCAAGCCAAGACTGATATAGTCACATAAGGATAACCCAGTCTAAGAGGCTTTCTACTCGACCGGTGAGCCATTTGAACGACTCACATATCGAGGTGACTCGTCGACATGCTCAAGTCGACTTCCCTAAAGTCGATTATACCGAAAATAATCAAGAAGAGGCAGAAATTGGTCTAGTCGACTCCCACAAGTCGACCTCTAACTATCGACTTTTGCTAGTCGACTTCATACTAGAAGGACATCAAGAATGCAACTCCCAACCATCCAGATACTCTAGGTCGACTTCCACTAGTCGACTTCCTCATGACGACTCTAAGAGACGACCACCGCAGGGAATTAAACCAGGTGTAGCCTCCGAAACCACACATATTTGTAAGTCGACCTCTTAGTTCTCGAGGTCGACTATGTACATCTCGAGGATCAAAGTGGTGAAGACGACTCACCACACTTGCAACATATCCAAAGCTCTACACATTACCAAGGATAAGAAGGAATCTTGCGATGACTCAACAACAAGGGGAGACGAATCGACCAGGGCATTATGGACCTTCTAGGTCCACCGACTGGGGCATTTTGGGCATTTCAAGTAAGTATTCCCTCCTATATAAAGGAGATGAGGTAACTCAAAACCCTAACTCTCATTCATTCCCACTCTCCCCCATAGCTGCTGCGCAGCATCTCTTCATCACTCTCATACTGACTTGAGCGTCGGAGGCTCTACGCCGGAAACACCTCCGGCGTTGAGTTTTTGCAGGAATCTCGCGGTCTAGCAACGGTTGGGAAGCGGTTCAAGCAGATCTGAGCTCACAACAACCGGTTTACTCCAGGTCTGGAAGTAGACCCATCATTTGGCGCCGTCTGTGGGGAGTTCTTAAAGGAAGGAAGAGCTTCATACCCAGCTCCGATCTGTTTGCTGATGGCGGAGAAGAAAGGCTTGCAGAGGAACTTGAGCGAGGAGTTTAGAGGGACGTGGATGGACAAGAGGCCACCGCCGCTCTCCACCACCAAACACCCCGTAATGCAGATGATGGGAATGCCACCTTTCGGAGGACTTCCACCACCAGGACTGACGTTTGGCGGAGAAACGCCTGTGACTCCAACCGGCGTGAAGCTACAAGTGTTGACCCAGGTAGGAACAAGTCAAAACCCTAACCCAGATGGGGAGAAGGAGCCAACGGAGGTCTCTCGACGCGAGGGAAAACAGATACAGGAGGTTCCGGAACAGACACAACCCCGCGTCGAGGAACAGACTCTGACAATGACGAGGAGTGAGATGCAAAAGATGATTGTTGAAGCCGTGGCGGCCCAGATGAAGCAGATAGCGCCGGTAGAACAGCAGCCTCGAGTCGAGTGCCCACCTCGAGTCGAGCACCAGCCCCGCGTCGAGTACCCCCCTCGAGTCGAGCAGCAGCCGCGTGGCGAGCAACAGGCCCAGTCGAATGTACAACAGAACAGAAGGGTAGATGAAGAGGAATCCTCCATTCGAACTGTTAATCCACAGGCGAGGGACGAAACGTTAGAGCAACTGCTGGCACAGGTTCTCGACTTGCAAGCTCGAGTCGACGGGAGGAAGAGCAGAGGAGCAAAAGAACACCCATTCTCACAGCAGATCCTAAGAGCCGACTTACCCAAGGGCTTCAGGGAGTTGAACATATGGTATGACGGTACCACAGATCCATCTCGACATCTGAGAAGTTTCGAAAATATGGCGGTACTGCATCGCTACAGCGACCCCGTGCAATGTCGCGCTTTCTTGACGACTCTGACAGGGTCGGCCCAGGACTGGTTTCATCAATTACCGGCCGGGTCGATTAGAGATTTTGACGGTTTTAGCTCGAGTTTCCTTAACCAATTCGCAAGTGTGAGGGTGCAAGAGAAATCTTACCTCTCGTTGATTAGCATGCAACATAAGAAGGGCAAGTCGTTGCGGGAGTATGTGGCAAGATTTACAAAGGCGTGCGTCGAATGCCCAACAGCGACAGAGGAAATCAAATCGGGAGGATTGACGAGAGGACTGCTACCAGGATTGTGTAAGAACTCCTTGGCCAAACGACCTGGTAGGAGTTTCGACGATGTGTTGGGCAGATGTGCCAAATACATGAATGTCGAGGAGACCGAAGCCGACTACTTGCAAAGCGTGAAGATGTCTCAAACCGACAGTCGAGACGACAAGAAGGAAAAGAAGGGCCAGTCGACAGGAGATAGAAGGTGATCCCCGAGGGCTGATAGGGGTGAAGGTAGGTCTAGGGGATGGAGACCAACTCAATACACACCTCTGTCGGCTCCCCATGCGAGAATTCTGGAAGTTATGGAGAGGGTAATCCGCGACGATGTGGTAAGATGGCCGCGGACGAGGAAAGATGGACCTTTGAAGCCCAAAAGCAACCTATACTGTCGATTCCACAAAGACTATGAGCACAACACTGACGACTGTTGACACTTGAAAGACGAAATTGAGAGGTTGATAAAGGCGGGCCACTTGAAGGAGTTTATATACAAGGACCGAGAGAGGACGAGCAGGAGACGAGAACGAAGTAAGAGTCCTCGCAAGAGGGCGAGGTCGCCAGAAAAGGAGGAACTCCCACCAAAAAGAGGAGTCATTAACATGATTTTCGGAGGGTCGACTGATGGAGACTCCAATCGGGCAAGAAAGGCCTATGCTCGAGGCCGATATGCGAAAGTCGAGGTGCAGCAGGTCGAGGAAAGTGGACCAGTAATGAACTTTGGACCGGCAGATGTGGGTGAAGTCGAGAGGCCGCATAACCATGCCCTGATGATAACGGCGCAGATATCGGGGTACGAGGTGCAAAGGGTGTTTTTCGACACCGGGAGTTCCGTGAACGTAATTTTCTATGAATGCCTCAGAAGGATGGAGCTTGACATTGAACTTACGCCCCTATATACATCACTCTTCGTATTTAACGGCTCAGAAGTCGCTCCCCTAGGAGAAACCATGCTCGCTGTCGTCCTAGGGGAAGGTGACTTGAGGAAAGTCAAAATGGTGAGATTTGTTGTGGTTGATGTCGAGTCGGCTTATAACGTGATTCTGGGGAGACCAGCGCTCAACGCATTTCAAGCAGTTGTGTCGACCTATCACATGAAGCTGAAGTTTCCCGTAGGAGATCGAGTGGGAGAAGCTCGAGGAGATCAAAAGTTGTCAAGAACATGTTACCAAATCGCAGTCAAAACCAATCAACGAGCTGAGGTCAGAGAGGGCAAGAGACCAATGACGAGTGAGAAAAGGCCGAGAGGGAGTGACCTTGAGCCCCATGGCGAACTGATGGAAATTCAAATAGGAGAGTCAAAGGACCAAACCACCAAAGTCGGGAGAGAGTTGGAGGACGAGTTGCGAGAACAGTTGGTGGGATTGTTGAAAGAATTCAGGGATATATTCGCCTTCTCGCCTGAAGAGCTAACTGGAATCGACCCGGATGTTATGGAACACAAGCTCAATGTCGACCCCCTAAAAAAACCCGTGAAACAACGACTTAGGCACCATGGCGCTGAGATCGACAAAGCAATCGAAATCGAGGTAGATAAGCTGTTGAAGGCCAAACATATCAAGGAAATCCAATTCCCAGAATGGATATCTAACACTGTGATGGTGAGGAAGGCATTGAACAAATGGCGTATGTGCATCGACTTCCGCGACTTGAACCTGGCGTGCCCTAAGGATCATTACCCTTTGCCTAGGATCGATCAGCTAGTCGACTCCACAGCTGGCTGCGAGTTGTTGAGCATGATGGACGCATCGCAGGGATACCACCAAATTCCTTTGGCACCGGAGGATCAGAGTAAAGTAAGTTTTGTGATGAGCAAGGGGACATATTGCTATGTCGTCATGCCCTTTGGCCTAAAAAATGCAGGAGCAACCTACCAGCGATTGATGGATCAAATGTTCAAACCTCAAATCGGCCGGAATATGGAAGTGTACGTTGATGATATCCTGGTGAAGAGTAAATCCTCGACTTCACACCCAGACGACTTAAGGGAAACTTTCAACACCCTTAGGGCGTTTGGGATGAAGTTGGACCCGAGCAAGTGCGCTTTTAGAGTAAGAGCAGGACGATTTCTGGGCTACGTGGTCACAGAACGAGGAATTGAGGTGAACCAAGATAAAGTGAAGGCCATACTCGACATGGCTCCACCGCGAAACATTAGAGAAGTCCAAGTATTAACGGGAAGGATTGCGGGCCTGAGCAGGTTCATTGCTCGAGCAGCCGAAAAGAGTTTCCCTTTCTTCAAACTACTAAAGAAGACGACGACTTTTAAGTGGAGTGATGAGGCACAAAAGGCCTTTGAAAAGTTGAAAGAATTCCTGAGTGAACTACCCTTGTTAACCAAACCAGAGCCTGGCGACGAGTTGATTCTATACATTTC